AAATAATATAAAAAACAGTCTAGTCTTTTGGAGATGACATATTGTCCAGCTACTGGTGGTAATTGGTAATATGAGATGTTTTAAAAAAAACAACAAAAAAAAAAAAAAAAACTGACACTCATGAGTCATTTTAAAATCAGTCAAACTCTTTTTCCACTGAAGCTTCAACCTCTCCTCTGGTTTTAATGAGAAGTTGGGTAGAATCAGCTGAACAGAGAGGACTGAAAGCTTCAGAAAAAACTGATCCGTTTTTTCTGAAGAGAGATTGGTGCATCTCTACTTAAAATATATGAAGTAAAGCAGCACAGCTTCAGTTTTCAAGTTCACTGTGGAGACATGAAGGTGCAGCTACCTGGTTGATGCTGCAGGCAGACTTGTTGGCTGCTGCAGCTGAATTGCTCATAGTTGCAGTTTGCTTAGAGCCAGCAGCAGCAGCTACTTTGACAGCAGGTCTGTGAACAGAGCCAGATCCAGGATTCCCTTTGGGAATCTGGGCATGGATGAGGTCATCCTCCCAGGACTCGATGGTGGCAGCCAGGTTGGCCAATCGGCCTCTCCGCCGAACAGGAGCTTCTGAAGGAGGAAGACTGACAGGCAGCTGGACTTCTACTGGTCTCTTTGACAAGTTTGGAGGGGTGCTGTCTGGCACTGTGTCAGAAGAGTCTGGAGGAAAAGCAGCGAGGTCAGATGAATTCCAGATTTAGAGCCTGCCATTAATGTGACTGATCTCAGCCAAAGGTGTTTACCATCATCCTCATCCCAGCACTTCCTCTGCTGTGCCAGCCTTTGCAGGCGTGACTTCATGCCAGCAGCAGAGGGAGCCGGGTCTTCCACCTGGTCCGGTTTGTTCCTCTCTTGGGCAGCACCAGGGGACTCTGTTGGTGCTTCATTTGTGCTTGGAGAGTCAGAACCAGGAGTGACGGCCATGTTCTCTGGCTGTGCTGCTTTCAGCTCCTTAGGCTGACTCTGAACAGGCCGAGTTGAACTCTGCTCAAGAGAGGAGGACGAGCGAATACTGGCTAGACCCACCGGGGTTTTCTTGCCCATCAGAGGGTCTGGTGGTTCGGGGCCCCCAGCTTGGGTCAACACTGGCACCTGGTTCTCCTCATCCAGTGCCAACTGGGTTTCCTCTGAGCACCTGCGCTTGGAAGGGGAGGGCTTGGAGGATATCTGTGGAACTAGAAAGGGATTACAAGGAAATTTCAAACACCTTACACAACTCCAATGGCAATCTTAACAAAAGGACTGACCTTTATCAAAAGTAGAATCAGTGATGGTGTTATTTGATTCAGTTAGAGGCTCCCTCGGCCTTTTGACCATCTGTCTGTTAGCTGCATTGGGACGCTCTGCTAGCTTCCTCTGCAGATTTTCCCTACGGGCCCGAGTACGCTCCAAAAGTTTCTGGTTTGACCAAAAGAATCAGAAAATCAGACATGCAGTATCCAGACCAGAAAAGCATGGCCCACATGATGTCAAAACGTTTCCTTTGTGAATTGGATCAAGAGAACTACACAGAACAGTTTTTGGTGGGAATAAAAAAAATTGTCAGACAATTAAAACACAAACAATTCATCCACAACAAACTCAAAGGTATAATAAACAGTCATTAAACGACTTGACAGCCTAATTCACTTCTATTTCATTTCCCAAAATATGGTTGGCAATAATAAGCATATTTTGGGGTTGAGATCCAGATTGTGATTTCTCACTTACACACAATCAATAAAACTAAACACATCTCTCTTTCCTTTTGCCAAGTCTTTCACAAACTGATTTACTGTACTGAGCAAGTCCTAACACATTCCTGAGTGTGCTGCAGGCCACCACAGCTTCCCCAAGCCAACAGCCCAGTGTGGAAAATCTGAGGTCACATTCTTCAGGAATGAGCCACGCCTGGTTATGCTTAACTGTACAGGCCAGTTTATAGGACGCACAAGAAGAAGAAATATGCTTTGTTTTGGGTAACGCGCCAACTGTCCAAGTTTAGATAGCAACATATCAGAAGGGAAAGACTGTACCTCAAAATATTCGAAGATGTCTCTTTAGCTTAATGTTCCATGACTGTTGTTTCTGTTTTTGAGCTCAATAAATGAACTGAAGCTTCCAATCGCTAAACTAATGAAAACTAACTATATTTTGCATTACTTATTCAGACCGGTTCCAGACAAAGAAACTGCAATTGACGCTTTCCCAGAAAGGAACGAACCAGAAAGGATCCGGTTACACTAGTAACACAGCTGCGGGTTAAGTTCGCATTAGCAGGTAACGTTAACACTCATACTACCCAAAATAGTCTTGCGACAGCTAGCTCTGACATGAAATTTCTCAACTCACCTCAGTAAATGGGTCCATTTCAGATAGTTTGCAATCACTTTAGTATTTACAAAACAGAGTGTTACCAGTTCTATACGCGACTTGTGTGTAAAGAATAACCTAACAAACCAAAACGATAAGTGCTCAGAGTTATTCTCTGCTCGGTTGCTCTTCCTTGACAAACGGCTTCTGTTCAAATTTGAATTTCAGCGCTGACTCCACGGCGCATACTCCAAAACTTAAAAGGAGCGCCAGAGGACCAATCAGATATCATGGGCTGGACATCAGGCTTTGATCAGCCAATCACAACTTGTTCGTTGTAAAGAGTAACTATCAACCAGTCCTATATTTATGACGAGTCAATTGCATATACAGTGAATCCTCACTATAGCGCAGTTCACTTTTGACGGTCTCGCTGCTTCGCAGATTTTTTGAGCAGTTTTTTTCCCCACAGTGCATTTTGTTCTCCATTCTGATTGGCTAAACAGTCTCTCCGTTTCTTCTCTACCTGTGTGGAAATAACGTCGTGGTTTAATATGTACACAGATAAAACAGCTTGCCAAATTTAAGTTTGCGAATTCTCTTGCAATTTCAATTTTCTCTAAAACCCATAATGTCGACAAAACGTTCCGCATCAATCCAATGACTCGGGTCGGTCCCGCCCCACTGCGACTCGGGCCGCTATACTATATATATATATATATATATATATATATATATATATATATATATATATATATATATATATATAATATATATATATATATATATATATGTATATATATATATATGTATATATATATGTATGTATATATATATATATATATATATATGTATATGTATGTATATATATACATATATATATATATATGTATATATATATATGTATATATATGTATATATGTATATGTATGTATATATATATCACATCTGGTGTTTTGATCAGTAGCTTATTTATAGAAAACTCCTTTACTTTATGAGTTATTTCCTGTATGGTTATTTTAACTTTTACTTCTGTAAAAACATTTTAAAGTAACATCTACAGAGTTAGAGGAGGAGTTCTGGGGACTCTGGATTCCTGAATATAAATAATAATCTATGACTGATACTCTATAATCATAATAATGGTAGTTTATCATTATGATAAACTATGACTGATGACTGCATTTTCTAATAATGCTCAGTAGAAAATGACCTTGTTTCATGGAGTAAGACACAGGACCATGCTGCTGTCCCACCTGTTCGGTTGATCTTACCGAGCAGCAGGATCACCGTCAGTCCTCCCGTCCTCAGGAAGTCCAACATGAACACAATTCGCGGTTCTGGATGGCTCTCTTTGGTTTTGGGTGACCGAGAGAAACATTTTGATCTGCCGTGTTTCTGGCGTCCAGAAGGGACGTGTCACTTCTGTGGGAAGTGACATTAGATATCATTATATTTCAAGTTCTTGTTCAGGCATCAGATAATATCAGGTGACGCAGGAGATGCTCAGTAATATCAACAGAAGGAAATGTTGAAGTTGAAGGCATCACTCTGTTGATCAGATTAACATTCAGACGTTCATCCTTCCAGACATGAGGACTCCGTCTGTCTGCGTGGCGGTTGGTGAGTCCCACACTGCACACATTCATCATCACCTTGTAGAATGGGTCGGAGGGGTTCTGATAATAAAATGTTTCTGCTGATTTGGATAAATTTCTCCTTTTTGTTCTTGTTTTGTTTGTTTGATCTTTTATTGTTTTCTTTCTTACATTTGATCAGTTTTTTTGTTCATTTATCTGAAACTTGTTGCAGTTGTAGTTTTCAGCCAGAAATAAAAATGATTGAACTCTGGCTCTGAAATTAAAGTCAGAGTCTGAGTCCTTCATCATTGGTCCGGTCCAGACTCGGTCTGCTCTTCTGAGTCCCAATGTGGACCAGAGATCATGAGGTGAAAGAGGCTCTGTCTCTGTCCAGTAGGAGGCAGCAGAGCTCCAGGTAGGAACCGCCTCTGGAGGAACCATCTGCAGAAAGATTAGGTGAAGGTTTTACAAATCCCAGGTCTTTATTGACATCTATCACGTACTGAGTTTGAACCTGAACTCTCAGGTCATTTCGTGTTTCATCAAACCTTCAGTGAAGCATTAAATTCAAATTCTAATTAAATTCTAATTCAAGAATACTTTATCAATCCCACAGGGAAATTAAATGTTGATGTAACTCTTTAATTCCTCAAAGAATCATTGTTGATGGTGATGGCTGTTGGAAGAAAGGATCTTCTGCAGAGGTCTGTACTGCACAGAGGCCAGAACAAAGGAAAACTCACTGGTCAGTCATCAGCGACTACAGACTGGTAGCCCTGACATTTCACAACATGAAGGTCCTGGAAAGACTCCTATTGGCCCACTTGAATAAGCAGACAAGAATATATCAAGACCTCCTGCAGTTTGCTTATTGCTATGGAATTGGAGTTGATACTGTCTTGGAAAGGTAGAGTGTCTTCAGTCAGAGGCTTCTTCAGATTTAGTGCAACACAGACCGCTGCAGAAGATATATTGAGGTGTTGTAATTTTTTTAACTAGAGTAGATTAAAGATGCGGAAGGTAGTAAAAAGTTTGCCACTTCCAGAATCGCAAGCTGGAATCGGAAAATGAAAGTAATCTCATAGAAGGACTACAATTCCCATGATCACAGGATGTACGTCGCCCGACGTTGCAGATGATACCATGGAAACCACTGAGCCACAGCAGAGCAGTTAACTCCTCTTGTCACAGGAGTGACTGCTGCTCGGTGTAGAAGGGAGATCAACTCGACTGCAGTTCTTGTTGGGAAAAATATCTTTCCACTCGTGACGCGCGGTTTCCCGTGTTTTTATTTTTGGTGTCTTTTAGCTGGATTAATGGGTTAATTCCGCTGACTGTTACACGACCGCTTTCAAATATCTTACGTTGAAGAAGATGTTGGAGTCAATTAAAGTTACAGGTAATGTAGTAAATGTTTCGTAACCGCTAAGCATGAATAAAATACGTGGTATATATAGTTGTGATAATCTGAAGGCAGCGTTAGTCGCTTCATTACTTCTACTAATTGGTTCGAGCTGTTTTAACCCACACGTGCCTTAGCTTCAAGATTCACGACACACCGACAGGCTTTGGTTGGCTGAGTCAGCTGATCATCGGTCGCTTGGATGGAAGAAATCGTTTATCTCCATTCTGTTTTTCAATAAATTACTGCGATGATTAAGAAAATAATCAATGAACACGTTGGAATTTAGCGTGGTCTTTCTGTACTCTGCACAATAATACAGCGTAAGCTATAGATTACATAGCTATGTTACATATAACTATGTATATGTTATATGTTACATATAACTATGTAACATAGATATATGATGAGGTTATAGCTATGTAATCTTGTGTGATATCTGCTAGACATTTGACTTCTCAATCTGTAGAATCAATTCATTTAAATTGATGTGAGTTTTGGCAAGGAGCTCACCAATTTTCTGCAGGGTTGAGATCATAGTGCTGGTTTCTGGGATACTTCTCAGCAGCTCATTCTGTGTCGAGTCAGAGAGCCAGCTAAGCTGTGAGGGGATGGTGCTGATGAGGCAGCTGGAACCAGTGTGCAGCTGACATCATGAGACCCAACACAGCGCTCTTTCTGATTGTATCAAATCGTCTTTGCAAAACCCTTTTCTGTACTGCCAGCCTCTGCAAGCATAATTGGAATCAATTCCAGTGAATAGTCAAGACCTGACTTCTGATCCTGAAAAGCCCATAGCTGTACTGTCCTTACTGAGCAGCAGCAGTCAGGAGGTCTGACCACAGATTACGAGTGTCTCTTGCTGCCTGAGGTGTAACAAAGTGTGTTATTACCAGACTGGAAGTCATGTTTTCAGCGCTTTGTGTCACTTCAGCTTCTTATCAAAACAGAGTGACGCTGAAGCAGGTGTGACTCAGAATAATCTGACTCCTTTTCGGCTTTCTCTCCTCTTGCAGAACAACTTCAATGGCCAGAGGTGGATTTGTCTAAAAAGTCAATCTTCAACTCTGTTGGCAGAGTGGTGAGTCCAAACCAGGTGTGCTTTGCAACATTTCCTTCCCCTGTTCTTGAGGACCTCCTGCTGCAAGCCAAAGAGGAGGAGAAGAAGCAGAAGGCAAAGGAGTCCCAGTGCAAGAGACCGAAGTCTTCGATGAAAGGTGGGCTGGCGCTTAGCAAAAGAAACTGCGTGATTCTGGCTCAGAAACAGACCCATAGTCCAGATGGGGATGAGAAGCCCGTCCAGACAAACTGTGTCCACTCATACAGGAACTGCAATCTTCTGAAGCCAACTCTGAGCCTAACAGTAGCGGGCAGCAAGATGGAACTGACCCCCCGCACAGTTTCACTGCTAAGAAAAAACCCCAGTCTTAACGCCTACCGTTCTGTGCTCTCATCCCCCTACAATGCAGCCGCCTCTCGGGAGGTGGAAAACACCAAGAAGCTCTGCATCTTTACTGCCATCAAGCCATGCAATGTTGACAGAGAGAAGGACAAGTTCTTCAAGTCTGATTTCAGCTACAACCCCCAGTTTGAATACAGCAGTCCTGCCTCTGCAGGTTTCCTGGCGCGCCATAACCACGCCTCTGATCAGTTCCTAGCTCAGGTAAGGCTGCATTCCTCCTGCAGACATCTAGTTTGATTTCTGTGGTGCTTTGTTGGAAAGTGGAAAGAAAATGAGAAGTGTGTGTGTGTTTGTATTCAGCCTCTCTGAGCCTCTTCTGGGGTTCTCTCTGTCTACGTCTATAGAGACATTTTTGTTGATTCTTTGCAAAACGACTGAAGCTTCTGTTGGATGAAGGGGCAGTATTATGTGTTCTCCAGACACATAGTTTGATTTAATAGTACAATCAAGTAAAACTGTTACCTTCAGCTATAAAAATTGTATTAAATTAAATTAAACATTGTAATTTATCAGCTTCAAATTAGGCCTCTGTCTTGCGGTCTCAGTGTTGTAGTTTCAGATGAAGTCTAGTCTCGGGTCTTTTGTAGCTTCTGATAGGCTTTCTTCCAGGTTTAACCTTCAAACAGACAGACTTCTGTGCTCCCAGTTATTGACCTGCTACCTACACTTTGATTCAACTCGGAATAGAACTTCGAAACTACAACTGTAAGAAAGATGTCAACAATGGGAGAATGACAAACTGCAGGGATGAAAATGCGGTTGCTGAATACATTTATGTATCAATGTTTGCTTCTGGGGGAAAGTTGTTAACCTTAATGATTTCAAAAACCACATTGGTTGAGCCAGAGAGTCATTATTGTCACATGAGCTGTAGACTAAGCAACAGCTTTGGGGTAGTCTTAGAAGTGAACGTGAGTCTAGTCAGATCTTTTCCCTCATCACGATGAAGTGAAGACTCAGCCGAAATGTTGTTAATGAAGCACTCTCTGGTCAGCAATAGTATAATTTTGGAGGGAGTATTGTGTAATGTCATGGAAAAAACTATTTCCAAGCACTGTTCAGATAAAATCACTCAATCAGGTTTATTCATGCATTGTGCACAAAGCAGAGAGCTCATAGGACAATCAATAATCAAGCAAGTCTGGATGCAAAGCTCTGCCAGGATGATACAACACATGAATTTTTTGCAAGGACAAGGAATTAAAAACAAGGGGCGAGACGGTCTGGTTCTGATGCAGCTGTGGAAAACAAACTTCCAGCCTCGTACATGTAACCCAAATAGTTATTTTGGTTAGAGTTCACAAGCATTACTAGTCATTATAACATGACTGGCAGATGTGACCTTATTGTAATCTTTTCCATCACATATAATAAATGGAAAAGTCTATGTTCAATCTAATCATGTATGCGTTATGAAGCCTAACATTTAAAACTAAGGGGGGAAGGATGATCATTATGTGCAATACACACTTTTAAATGTAGGCTTCATCTGGTTCTTTCCATTCACACAGATTCTAACTTTTGGTGCACTAATAAATTGGCATTGATTTTCAAAATTTTTATGTTTTGAAAGGGGCATTATTATGTAAAATTAGCCTTTTTGAGCTTTCCATCATGTTATAATGTTATTACTATGGAGATAACAGCAAATCAACATGTGTCAACAGTTAACATAACATGTCACCATCTCTGAGGTTTCAAAGAGAGTTCCTGAGGGTCTCTTCTGTTGCAGGCAGTGAACATCATGGAGCTGGCCTTGAAGAGATATGGCAACTATGAGATGTTTGAGCAAGTCACCGGTGGGGACCTGCTTCCCAGGAGTCGGATCTGGATCAGCGTGAAGAGATACATGGAGAAGGAAGGTTGTGTGGGTGAGGTACGAGGAGAGCAGGCTGCTCACTTCTCTCACGCTGACTCCAGATTGGATCCAAACCGGCTGTATTCTCTGAGAGAATGCAGTTGTGTGTTGTATTTTCCCCTGGCCTCGCTTGGCCTGCAAAGTCTTTGGTTTGTTTGAGTGCATTAATATTGCAGTACAACACAAAGCAGATCGCACCAGTGAAGTTAGTCCAGGGGAAAAGATTTCAGATTTGTCCACTTTTTCAAGATCATCCCTCAGTTTGCGTTCCTGAACCAGAATTTATGGAATTAAACTAATCTATGTCATATTATATGTTTATAATCCACTGCTGAACACTGTTCACATAGAAACATAACCAGGGCCTGATGAAAGAAAATGTTAACTCCTGGACCAGAGCCTGTTTTGGTGCCATATCCTCACAAGTTTTATTTCATTTGTATCTTATTTTTTATTTATTTCCTCAATAGTAAATATAAACAGTTCATGTAACAATGAAAAGAAATTATGAATGAAAAGGAGCAGAAAGAAGGGTGACCTTATGACATCTGCCTCCTGTCCATGTACAGAGTATGTGGACAAAGATTCAACTCAGAAGACAATAATAATTATTATGATTTTATGCATTTGGACATAATTCAAATGCATAAAATATACATAACAAACCATCAGCTTATATCGCCATCAGCTATATCACTTCATCATAATGATTTGTTCTGCTGACAGATTGTCGTCCAGGTGACAGATGACTTACTGTCCAGAGCCTCGATGACGATGGTGAACGGTCAGCCCACTATGACCATCAATACGTCCAGCGCACGGGAGTACTGGCTGGAGGGCATGCTGAGGCATGAGATCGGTGGGTGCAGTGGATCTGACACACATGTCCTCTATCTGCTTTCACTTGCTCTCATCATAGCAAGTGAAAATAAAACATGCAACAGTTTCTTTCTGAGAGTATAGAATATGACATATTGCAGAAGTATTCACATCCCTTTTGTAACATTTAGTTTCTTTATAACTTCTAAATTTTGGATCTCATTAGTAACATTATGTTGTGTATTTGTTTGTAGCTTTCATTACTCTGGTTCCCCTTAGTAAAATTGAATTCATAAATACTTTATTTTTCCCAAAGAGAAATTAAATGATGTTCGATGATGTTTTCACATCATCATTGAATGATATGAGCTACTTGGATGTAACTCCAAGTAGCTCCAAATAAACCAAATATATTGAAAGAATGGTTGTGTGGTATATGGTGATGTGTATGGTGGATAGGAGGGATCTCTGGTTGCAGTCCATCTTGCAACAAATCTGAAGAGGCCTCTTACTGAAGACTGTTGCAATGACGAAATTCCACAGTAGAATGTCCTGGATGACACCATCAGTCAGTGGTAGCTGTGCTAATCAATGTCATTTGCTTTTGCCACTCCTCCTTTAAATCTCTGTCTGGCCATATGGTCAGAGAGATGCTGGAGTTCTCTTATTTGATTCTTGATTGTTATTGTCTCTACTCTCCTCCTTTTCAGCTCCTCTGGGATTTGGGTCCCAGATGAGCCCAAATCCTAATGTCAGTGCTGAGTGTCTAAAATGCTAATCAAATGCTCTAGTTTGTAAAAACAAGTTAGAGCTTGTTGCCATGATTACAGATTAAATAACTTTCCAAAAATAAAAAAAGGGAGGAGCAAAACTCCTTCCAGCTGCACAGCATCCAAAACCATAGGGAATAAATGTCTAAACCTGTGATGCCTTGACCAAAAAAAAAAAAACAACAAAAAAAAAAGATGAATAAACATCAAGAAAAGAAGATTAATAATGGCAGAATTAAATTCAGGTTAAATTCTAACGCAACCACAGCTGTATGAAGTGTTCTCTCTGTCTCAGGCACACATTACTTCCGAGGTCTCAACAACTGCCAGCAGCCGTGGGGCAGCAGCACGGGGAGGAGAAAGCACAACCTGAAGCCTCTGAACCCAACAGAGGAGGGCCTGGCCAGCATCCACAGCGTTCTGTTTAGGAAGGACCCCACTCTGTGGCGCGCTGCGCTGCTCTATTATACCGTCTATCAGGCCAGGCACACGTCCTTCACTCAGCTCTTCCGCAACCTGGGACGTTTTGTTCAAGACCCACACACACGCTGGGATTACTGCGTCCGTGCAAAGAGAGGCCAGACCAACACAGCCCTGCCAGGTATGTGGAACCAGCTGACCTGACATGCTCAGGACTGATCTTGCATAAAAACTTGACTGGTGTTTTCTGACTTCTAATCCTGAAGGATGTTTCAGTAAGGACCAGGTTTATCTGGAGGGCATACTGCAGATCCTGAGATACAGAGACAAGATCAACTTCCCAATGCTGATGGCTCTGGGAAAGGTGAGCAATCTGAACTCTACTCCTCTAAGTCCTGGAATATCTTATGATCCCCAGGTTCAAACCTTCTCTGGCAAAAATTTCTTTTGTCACAAAGAACCAGATTTGAGTTCATCAATCTGATTTACACTAATCTGGAAGAGACCAGCCCTCTGTGCTACACTGTTTGCTTTGTACAAAGCAAAGAGGACTCCTCTAATGAGAAACGATTGGTTGCTGGAGACATTGACTCTGTTGAAGTTTTAGTTTTTGCCTGTAATGCACCAGTTTGATGGTAAAAAGTTTGCCAGAAGTTGTGTGCATTGTAAGCAACCAACCTCCACTGTGAAAAGAGAAGTGCTGATCGGAATGAGGCAGTTGTTAATGTTGATTTAACATCTGGAAGTGTGGTCAACATGGACCAACACAGTTTTGTTCTCTTCCTCCGTTGTCATTGCTAAAATTACAGAAAGACTACAATTCTAAAACTTTGCAGAATATCAATGATTATGGCAATTTTGTTTTCAAAATTACTGTGTTTCCATTAATCAAGTTTATTTTCATAATTCCAGTTTGCGCAATTTTATAATCAATGGAAACACAGGTTCCATGGTATTCACATTCAGCCTTTCTTTTTAGATATTTGACCTCTGTCTTCATGTACTTGAAGGGAATGCAGTATCTCTACTGCTAACCAATTCCTTTCATTCTTCAGGAGAACAAGGAATTGTTTTTTTGTTAAATTCCAGGCAGTACTGTGAGAATGGTGGGTGATGACACCCAGACTGAGCTCCAATGACTAGTGCAGTGAATCAGAGTTCCAGTGGGATTTCACTGTCTTTGCATATCCATTTTACATGTTTGTGTCCCCTTCTCTTCCTCTAGGAAAAATTAGTTATTTTGGACTCTGAATCACCAGGTCAAGTGCAAGGTTTGGTGGAGGGAGGATTATGGTGACGGCCTGTTTGTCTGGAGTTGAGCTCCTTGGTTCTCAAGGAGGAATGAAACTCTTAAGGAACTCTTAAGGCGTTAGACTTTTTGCTCTTGGTTTTGTGGGAACAGTTTGAGGACTTCTGTTCCAACATAACTGAGCACCATTTCACAGAGTAAGATCCATAAAAACATGGATGAGAAAATTTGGTTTAAAACAACTTGATTTGTATGCACAGAGTCCAACGCCAGTGTTTTACCTCAAATATGCTCTTCTGAAACAATGGTAAACAAATCCCAAGAAATATTCCTAAAAGTTGTGCAAAGCCTTCCTAGAACTGCAGAGGGTGGACCAACTTCAACCCTGTGTGTTGAATGTTTGTCATTATAGGGCATTATTATATAAAATGTACTTTTTTAGTGTTCTATTATAACGTTATTCCCTATATAATGTTATAGCTAGCTTGTGTTGTAATCAAGTAACATAAGTAACTTGATTGTGATACAAAATGGCACTCTGTGGCTGGAAAATACACAATACTCCCATCTAAACTTCATGTGTGTGTGAAGACAGAGGAGAGTTTAAGATGGTGAAGCAGCACATTGGTTGACATCCGTGATAAAAAGCTGAATACCTTCTTTATGTTCCTTTACAGCTGTATTCTTTTTGAGCTCTTTGGCTCTTTTAGATCCAGTCTCTTCTCCAGTTCATCATCAGTGAACTGTATCTGTAGAGAGCTATTCTTTGTGACACACCATCATATTAAACGAGGCATCTGTGCTAAGGATGGCTGCATATCTGACTTCTACAAAAGCAAAGAGCTTAAATAACCACCTCCATGGAGGAACATGCCGCAGTCTCCTGCTTCAAAGGACCCAATGCAATAATGATGAAACAATACATGTTGTGTAAGAAGTATTGTCCGAAAGTTCCTTTTTTTTTGTTTTTGTTTTTGTGAGGAAGGTAAACATGTATCTGATTAGAGCAGCCGTACTGATGGTCTGAAGAGGTTTAACTTTAGTCTTTGTTGACTTCAGGTGTCATTTGAAGACGTGGATCGTCTGACACCTCTGGCTCAGATGGATAAGGTCCGCATCCCACATTTCATGCAAGACCAGGAGAAATATGCTGAGCAGCTGACAAAGATTATGGTGGTCAATCAGCTGACAGATGAAGAGCTGAAGACCCTCATCTAAGCCAGTCCTTCTCCTCTTCCTCATCGTCCTCCTCAGTCCCCCAATAAAAGCTGCTGTGCTCAGCTCCTGTCTGCATGCATCACATCACTGCATGCCTGGTAACACAGCTGTGAATTGTGCAGTGCTGTGGTGTTAAATTCTAATACTGATCAGTCAGTTATTATTAATGCTAGAACAAGATGATGAGCTCTATCTTTCTGGTTTTATTCAGAACCCGAGGAGCAGTGCTCTGGATCAGCTGCAGCTGGAGGATTTATTTTTTAGTGAGAACTTTGAAGACACTGTTGCAGTAATCAATGCGACTAAAGATAAACACATCATGGATGTGTTTCTCTAGATCTTGCTGGGACATTAATCCTCTAATCCTGGAAATGTTCTACGGGTGATAGAAGGCTGACTTTGTAACTGTCTTTCTGTGTCTGAAGGTTCAGCTCAGAGTTCATCACTACACTCAGATTTCAGTCTGAGCTCTAGTTTCTAACTATAAAACTGAAGCTGAGTGTTGTCTCTATCATTCCTCTTTAAGTCCAAAGAAAACTTCAGTTTCGTTTCTGTTCAACATGGCACATCCACACATCTATCTGTTTTAATTATCTGACCAGTGATTGGACAGTTCAGAGTCACCTGTATATCATCTGAGAGCTGTGTATCATCTGCATAGTAATGACAATTTGCACCACAGCATGCTTTTCTCCTTCTTTATGCAAAAAAACTACATTTATGATCTTCCTTTTATCTTTAATTTTATGCTCACTGAAATGTCTGTACTTGTGAGTCCATGAAACCTAATTTAAGTTGAATTGTTAAATTGGATTCTTCATTGTGCTCACAATCCTGGCCTGATGGAGTCATAAAGTTTCCCTCAAAGTTAGTGATCTTCATGAGAGGTCTCTGAACTGATCACACTGAGCAGTAACCAAATCGGTCACCGCACACTGCCAGCCTTTAAGTCTCCGGTCTAAATGGGAGACCTGACACCACTCAGGGCCACAGACTGGTGAATGAGAGTGAGCAGCCATGGCACACTGCACACAATGAGTGTCACTATACACATCATTCATGTACTCTGACATTTGGTTGTATGCAGATCACAAGCCTCACAAAGTGTCCTGTAACCTCAGCATGGTCAGTGTCTGCTGTGCTGTGACCGGATCTCACACACCACTGAGCCCAACAGGTCCAGTGGCACCTCATTGTCTGGTCCAGGGTCATTTTAATAAGGGAAATGACTCCAGTGCTATTATGCCTGAATCTAACAAACCTTTAAGTCCCACACAGCAAGAAACATCTATGCACTCAAGGCACAATAATTAATGTCCTATTGAAGACAATCATCAAGACACTCATACACACAAGCATTTCTAAAGGAAATTTGTTACTTTCAGAAATTAATTTTCTAGTCATCTTGTGAAGGGCAAAAAACTATCCAGAATCCTTTATAAATTCTAATTGCCCACACCTTTTTGACAACTACATTCTGTTTGATATCCATGCAGGTGTTATCCAAATCTAAGATCAGATAAAATACAAAGTCACTGACATCTATCAGTGTGACTATGAGAAAGATTGAAAACTGAAACAGTTTGATTAGATAGAAAATAATATAATATTTATTTTTAAGTTCAGTTTTCCAGGTTTTATCTAATTTATCCACAAATGGAGAAAACATGGAGCAACAGAGAACCTTCTCAGGAGTGGCTGCTACCAAAATTACTTTAAGATTTCATATACAACTCATGAAGAAGATAAAATAAGAACCCAGAGCCATGTCTGAAACTCTGTGGGCCCCATTTGTCTCAGCTGAGGTCAGAGATCATGATTCAAACATAAGAGACGAGGCAGAAAATGACCTCCACAGCAGAGCCCCAAGGCCAGAACCTGCTGACCATAAAGAACCAAAAAGACCTATATATGTTTAGAAAAAAATATCTTGATGATCCCCAAGACATGAGAAAATATTCAGCAGTGTGAAGGATTGTGTTGACATTATCACTGCAATCAGTGACTGAATGCAGTCTGCTAGATTTTCTCAGGTTGAAAACATTTTAGACTATTTGAATGATAAACTTGACTGAATTGTTTTGTAACATGGGATCAGATTAGAATCTGTATATGTCATGTTTGGTGAGTGGTGGTGGACAAAAAACCAGAAGAGCAGAGGCATGAAATAGATGAAAATATTTAATGATAGTAATGAACCAAACTTACCTAGATGAGCACGGGAAGAACACAACCAGAAACAAAAGGGGAAAAAAGCAGCAAAACGCAATTAGAGTAGAGAAGAAGTAACAGGAGTTACCAGCAGTTAAATAGAAGGAAACAGCAAGGAGTGACTGAGAATGAGTTGTAGTTATACTGGAGAGGTTGGTCACTAAACAAGGAACAGATAGCTGATTAGGAACTGATTTTAGGTATGAGAAGAGAGTAGAAGGCAGGCTGTGGGGAGAGAGAAAGTGGCGTGGGGGCAAGGGAGAGTACAAGAAATAAACACAAAAAGAATAACGAGAGCTAAGAAACATATTAAAACTAGAATAAAAAAGAGTAACTAGAAATAAGAAATAAACATAATGAACTAGAATCATAAAGAAAGGACTGAACCAAAGTAAAACCGAGGACTTCTAAGGAAAGGAACTAAGAAACACAGAAATGAACAAAACTTCAAACAACCTGAGATCCTGACAATACAGAAACCAAAATGTGATTTAAGTTTATTTAAAACATGAGAATAATTAGTTAATATTTACTATATTCATTAAAGTTTCTGTGAAAATAATTACTGTTTGCAGGTTAAAATATGTACAGCATGATAATATACAATGGTAATTTGTCTATATGATTGACCTGAAATGTAAATATAAATAAACTGGATTTAAATGACCTTATTTAACATAAGGTTAAATAAGGTGAAAAGTTAAAGCTATATAACTTTGACCACTGGTTCCATCATGGACAGCAGTTGATTTTATTTGTTAAGGACATCCTTTTGTATTATCCTTACCTTATTGCAGTGCTTGTTTTGTTTAGACAACTAAATAACTGATCTGGCCCACTAGGTGGCTCCCTTATCAGTCAGATGAGAAACTATGAACTCAGCAGCTGATGGGACCTAAATAAAGACAGTGAAGGTCTGATGTACTAGTACAGATGCATGTGTTGTTGGGTCAAATCCTGTGACATGTTTAGAACTCTGATACAGGAGCAGAATGTGATATACCATAGCTGAGCTTATCAGTGTTGTTTCATTTGAATATTCTGAGATAACAGCTGGAGCCTATATAGTGCAGCATTGTTTTTTTTTCATGGATAAGCTTTAGAATAATATTTAATTATGAAACATAAAACAACAAAGACCTGCTGTTAACTGAAAATGTAACTTGACCCTCAGTGATCAGTAACACAGTCCAGTCCAGCAAAACAGTGCAGCACTGCAGCAAGAAGATCCAGGATTTGAATACTGATCTGGGACTTTCTGAGTGATGTTTGCCTGTTATCTCCATGCAGGCTGCAGTTCTCTCTGAGAAGTTCATCTTCCTCTCACAGTCAGTTAAATGGTCTCTCTTGGGAGCCATGTGTCTGTGTATCTGGTTGTTTGTCCTGTGTGTGTCATCTGGTGTAGACTAGTACCAGTCATTCCAGTCATCTCACCTAGTGACAGCTGGAGATGGACTCCGGCCCCTGGTGACCTTCTAAAGGTTGGAGGAGTTTAGATGATAGAATGGATGGCCGACCCAGAAAGAGCAATGCTGAGGCAACTGTTGTTTCCAGGGGTTTATTGAGTCACTCTGTGTATCTGGAGAAAGAGTTGTGGTCCTTTATGTGGAAGTCTAGTGTGGTAGGGAAGAATCTGAGTATGAGACAGTAGTGAGGTTTGTGGTAGTGGTAGCAGAAGGTTGTGGTGAATACTGCTCTCAGCTGCTTTTTTCTAGTAGTTGTGTCTTTAAAAGACAAGGGCAGCGCACATGAGACATGAAGAAAAATGTCCTTGCAGTAGAAGGAGACCAAGGTCAGGAATGATAGCTGCAAGAATGAAAGGGAAGGTTTAAAAGACGGTAGTGAGCACTAGCATGGTGTTAGGTTTGGAAAGAGTGGCCTAACAAAAAGACAACAGGTAAATCTGGAGACGTTTAATTCCCCAGTGGGAATTAGATCAAACCCCCAATAAACCAGTATCACTGCAGAGCAGAGTTAGATCTGTTAACATCAGCAATAACTCTGGCTATGGGTGATTTTAGAGCAATAATGAGCAGATGCTTGTCAGGTCTGGTCTTGAGAGAGGTGGAAAACGCAGCAGGGACACAGAATGTAAATAACAAGTTAAAGAAAAAACAGTCTGACAGGATTTAGAGAATCAGTTGCTGAAACTCCAACTGCAGGAAGCAAAACAAAAACTGGTTTAAAAAAAAGTTAAAAGAAAACATGTGATGGTTGCAGCTGCAGCAACATTCAGGGAGGGGTTCCAAATTACATGCAAAACACTGACCAATATGTGGGAGGACCTGCTCCTCTGTCTCTCTATCCTTTTATGTATCCCCTAAAACAGGTATGGGAGGAGCCCTCGTGGAGGGGGGTAACGTGGGGTTGGTTGTAGTCGGAGAGGCTTGGGATGAGGCCGTGGAGCAAGGGGTGGCATGACGTATGTTACTCCTGTGGCAGGCCTGGACATTGGGCCCAGCAATGCTGGGACACAACGCAAGGTCAACCAGGTATGATACCTCACAATCCAGGTGTCATTCCCGCACCAAATGGACCCGGACAGTACTCTCAGTGGGACATGGGGCCCACACAGGGTACCTACTGACACACCCCTGAGAACCCCAGGGACAGCGTGGGCAATGCAGATCCCTTGCTGTCAGCAACAGTGGAGGGGAGACACACAGACTTTGTGGTTAACACCGGAGCCACACATTCCACACTGAACTCTGTCCCTCCTTTTTGCCTGACATCACAAACTGTATCTTTAACAGGGTTCTCAGGGCCTGAACAGAGTCTACCATTCACTACGCCTCTGACCTTCAGTTTGGGCAAGCAGCAAATGAAACATTCTTTTGTTAGTTCTCCCGCAACTCCTATCAATTTGCTAGGGAGAGACTTGCTGAAAAAGACGGGAGCCACAGTCATGTGTTCTGCTGATGGACTAATTGTTGCTTTTCCCAATGGCACCTCCCTTCGCTGTGGAAATTTTCACACTGATGAACAGTTTCTCATGCAACCAGTGGTATCTAAATATGTTGACATCTACTGGGGCCTCCTGACGAACTTACCCTCCAGCAGCCTGATGTCAACCTTCCTGGATCCTGGCTCTACGTCCCTATGTCTCGCCTCCTGACATAGGACATAGTCGTAGAAAAGGGAGTTGTCCCTTTTCTACGACAGACACAACTCCGAGTGGTACCAGGAAGTTTTCCTTTCCTCTGTGGGGGAAACGACCTGGGAGGTAAAAATGTCAGATATTTTTGTGGCTCCTGGTGGTATGGCTGCTGCTATCTGTCTTACAGAACAACAATCAGAGTGGTATCAAATGTCTGAAGAAGCTGTGCCTCACATCTCTCTCTTTGCACCCTGAGCATCAAGCTAAAGAACTGGGCAGCATGGTTAAACGGTCACTGGCAGCCACAGACTGAATTGTCACCGCAGTGCCAGGTTTGTTTTTCTCCCCCTCTCTTGACACATACAAGATCAGTTTTTCAGGGTCTGAAACAGTTGAGCTCCATCATGAACAAGTGTCCAGACATCACGGTAGAGAAAAATTTGAACACCCTTTAGCAAAACATATGATAACATCTATGCCTGCTTCTCTCTGGGCAGAATCGCCTACAAATGTTGGGCTTGTTTCTGTTCTCCTATTTCATTTTAGGTGGACTCTGAGAGACCCCTGTG